AGAACACCAACTTTGACTACCACCTGGGTGATGATGCACTGATGCCAGTTGATGAAAATCCTTACCTCGGTTTTACCTTCACATCCAAGCTGTCCTAGAAGAAACACATATCAAACATCACCTAAAAGGCCAACCGGATGCTCGGTCTTATTAAGCGGAATTTGAAGCACTGTCACCCACGATGGTTAGACCACATCTAGAAAACTGTTCTACTGTTTGGAATCCCCATCAACAAACTACAATCAATCAGATTGAAGCCACCCAGAAGAAAGCAGCTAGATTTGTACATAATATTTCATTTATTCATTTCATTTCAGAACAGAAAGTGTGACTGAAATGCTGAAAAACCTGCAGTGGGCTACACTTCAATCCAGGAGGGAAGCGACCATCAAAATCATGCTATACAAGATTTCGCATAACCTCATTGCAATTAAGCAACATCATTTCCTGACACCCATGACAAATACCAGACTTCAAACTACCACCCGGCACAATACCAGCCTCTCACAACTCACTCCTCCAAGGACATCTACATGTACAAGTTCTCATTCATCATGCCAACAACGGTTCGACTCTGGAATGCCCTTCCTGCTGATATCATAACAGCTCCATCAGTGGACGTCTTCAGGGCACTCATTTCTGCCAACTAGCCCAAAGGTGGAGCTCATTTTTTTACTTGCACTTATTTTTTTACTTTATATCTTTCACACAAAATAACGTCCCTCCTGCTTCAAACGCGCCTCGCTTCACCTCAGCGTTTATATCCGGAAGTGGACGTTGCATGTGCATTATCATATAGGCCTATACAGACACGAGTCGACTACTGTGTTCCTGAATGAAGTTTTTCCATGAATTCGCAATGCTGTATTTTCGAGGAGGTGCATTACTCGAAGGTAAATTCACTGATTACTCCTAGCTATTGAAAACTGCTCCCTTTTTAAAGGGAATGAGAATCTGTCATGCTTGTTTCCCACCCTGACCCCGTGGGCGATGTTCGCTTATACTACGAGACCCCTAAACGTCATAGATATTGCACAAAGCAAACTACAAGACCTTGAATTTGCGTTTTCTCGTTTTTTTTTCCACAAAGCAGACTCAGTCATAAAACAAGTGAGTGGAATGTACGTTGCAGTGAATATTACACACCGTGATCAATCAATCCTGTGAAATTGTGACCAAAACCCAATGGTGTGGATCACCTTTGCTTTAAAGCGGATTTTGGGGATTTCCATACGACTATGTTTGCAATATTGTAAGATTTAAATTTTGTAGCATACTAGTACAGGTTTGATGAGCGTGGCCTGACAAAGAATTGAGTAAAAGTTGAGAACTGACACAGTCTTAATGATACTTGGTCGACGATATTTCATGAGGAAAACACAGACTAATATCGTTGAAGACTAACGGGAAGACTAATTGACAGACTATGGACAGACTGTGGAGACCGTGGAGACTGTGGAGACTGAGGAGACTGACCATGAAACATTTTGGGGGTGATTATATAGAGGGGATGCAGGCTGGGCGGTATAACAGAAACTGTGGTCATCAGGCTTGTGGTTGTATAATTATGGCTTATGAGTCTTGGGGAATGGGGGCAATACTTCGACATTGACCACAACCAGGAACTTCATTAGGATCTTAATTACCATGGAATTAAACGGAAGTGTGATCAAGGATACGTGAGGGACCAATGAATAATGATTAATTTTGGGCTTACAATATCACTAAAGGGGAACCAGTTTTAAAGCCGTAAACTGCCATTCCCATAAAAGGTTAGATTCTGCATGAATTTGATACACATTACAGGTATTCATGTACATCTTTATTGTGTGCATCGCTTCCTGTTTAGTGTATATAGTGTACCCCACCTTTCCCCACCGCATCCCCTCAATTTCCAGCACAGATTTAAGCCAATGTTACATAGGTATTACCGGCAGTACTGGCTGTGGCACAACCGTAAAAACGATGCCTACTCTAGGATATGCGAGTGTCAGTGCATAGCGCTGGGTGAGATTTTTATTATCATGGTTAGTGCAGCTCGTGGTCCCAGCCCTGCAACAACAAAATATGACTTCTTTGACACACTGGATTCGAGATCAGGTTTACGGGCGCTGTCAGAGCGTCAGCAATTACCGCTCTCAGCGTTCACATTTACTTAGTTTGTTTCCTTTTGTCGCTTTATCGTTTGGCTCTCTTTGTTTTGTCCTTTGATCGTTTAGTTTTTGTCATTTGATCGTTCGACTCTGTCCTTTGATCGTTTAGTTTAGTTTTCTTTGGATCCTTTGGTTTTGTGCTTTTATTGTTCATTTCTGTCCTTTTATCATTTAATTTTGTCCTTTGATCTTTTCCTCTTTTTCTGATCGTTTGACGTTTGCATCATTTTATTTCGCAAATGCTGTTCGCAAAGCAGGATTTATAACTCTGCTTCATTTTTCTGTCATTCGTTTTTAATTTAGCTTTTTCACTTTTTTGATGTCCTTTGTTCATGCACCTTTTCTTTTATTTGGTTTTAAACTTTGAGCTTTGTTTTTGACTTAGAGCATTCGTTTTGTAAAATGGCCCTGATGGCGCCCCATAAAAACACAGGCAATCTCGCAAAGTAAAATTGTATCCCACAAAAAATTGTATTTTCGTAAAAGAACTGACCTACTACGAACGTTTGGGGCGTGCTGAGTGCTTTGGCCTGGCCCGCCTGCCTGCAACGCAACCACACTTCCATGTAAAACGAACAGAATACAGGCAGCACAGGCAGAAGAGCGTGTGCTCGCACATCACCATGGCGTACGTGATGCACGTACGCCCGTATAATGTAATCTTACTTATTTTTCCGACATAACTTGGTCTGCCTTGCTTTTAATGTCCAAAGAATGGAAAAGGTCAGCATTAGAACCATCATGACATTTAATTCACATCCACATTGAACATGAAAATATAAAATATACATCAAGAAGAAAATGAGAGTTTAACAGAAAAAAATGGCAGTAATAATTATTTGATTTAGACAAGGAATTCCATGGGGTGCAAGTATTATCATTTTTCTGATAATAGAGCCCGAAAGTTGACCCCTGATGGCGCACTTTCGGAACCCTTGCATAGGAAAAATAACCTGCAAAGATTTAAAATCCAACTCGGAAAAGGGGCTTTGGAAAATATTTGCTAGTATATCAATTTAAAGAAAATCACATAACCTAAAAGAGAAATATCCTTCCAAACATTGACCCATCACTTCTGAAAGTCTAAAATACATGACGAACATTTCAATGTGGCAGTCTCGAACGTGCATGAACATTTACAGATCAAAATATTTTACATAGTCTTATAATTTATAAGTAATAAAAAATTACGAAATTACAATTACGAAAGATTCTAATCTTTTATCTAACCTTTGCTGACAACAACTGCGTAATGTCAACTCAATGGAATCGGGAACCCATCGACTGCAAGTAGATAAATCTTTGCAACGTAGTACAATCTCGTTTTCACGTAAGCACAGGCAGTGAAAACAAACGTGCATGAACATGGAGACCTAGTTAAGAAAATTCTTTTTTACTTATCTCCGTGTGAATTTTCCTAAATATTACTTGAGGAAGACAAAGGTAAAATTCCAACATTAGTGTCTCAGGAAGTATTATTCCAATAAGTATCGAACGTGATAGGAAGGCCAAAAGTAAAATGCCCATAGGAGGACCGAGGGTTCCGGAAGCTTGCTGCGTGACCTTTTACTTTCAGGCTCTATTACGTGCACAGGGATGGTCAGTAATTTTGTGTTTTGAGTCTTTTTTACCAGAAATTTTAAACCCATTTGGGGAGATAAGGATCTCTCTTTTGCTTCTGGCACCATTAACATGAAACCTCATCATTTGGATCTTTCCTATATCAGTATTCAGGTTTGCAGCCATTGCTGAAAGTAAGAAGAAATAATGGATAAGCGCTGGGGTGGGAAGTTGAACCCCCCCCGGGACTGCTTTACTTCTCTCCACAAGCTTCTAAAATACATGCGCAGAATGTATTCCAAACGCCATCGTTAAAGGAACCAGGAAATGAATTTTTCTTAGAATCGCTTTTTGTTTATCTCTGTACTATCCCATGTATGAAGACTGTTCGACATCTACTTTGAGTTTTCACATGAACTGAACGGTGCATTTTTTCAAACATTAATTAAATATTGACCAAGCATTTCTGGACAAGTGAGGGCGCTTTAGCTTTGATGTTAATTCAGGGAAGACATGGTTCAGGTTGAATGTTTTCATGTTCAAATTGTGAATCCCAAATGTGCTATCTGGGAACATTTCTCTGAAAAGGATTTTTGCTGGATTATTGCCATACACTTACACAGTAATTATAACAGACCCAAAATGAGAAGTCTTGCACAGGCTCAAAATTTCCTTCTGGAAGGACCAGTCAATCCCTGTTTATTCTCCTCCTTTCCGTCCTCCTCCTTCCACACACTCTCCTCACCATTTCCTTCCCGCGCCCCTTCCAGTCCCAATCNTCCACATCTTGATGTGGGGAGACAGGTCTGTGACAACAGTGATTCCGTATTACTTTTGTCTCCCCTAGGCCCATCTTGCTTGTGATGTATATTGAATTTTTGGCTTGAATAAATAATAATAAGAGTAATAATAACAACCAAAGGAGTCGAGGTTGCACGTACGGCCCAGGCCCTGGCACTGCTGACATCGTTATGACGCTGCATAACTTGGGATGGCCTCAATAGTTCACTGTACTCCCAAGGGTAAAGATCACGTGTACGTGTACGCCTGTAGTCTTGATTTCAAGACGTTAGTGCTCGATAGCGGACACCGTGCATAGTGCGCCCCCAACGACTCATAGTTAGACTGTGCGCTGAGAGTAAGTAAAATCTAGTTGTGAGAGGGCGCTCTTCAACAGAAATAAAACAGCTATTGATCTTTGACGTCTTGTGCCAAGACTAGTGCGCCTGTAGCCCATAGTTCATGTACACATGTACATGCATATGTGTACATTCGTAGTATTGTAGGCCTACGAGAAGTACGTACATGTACATGTACGTACATGAAGGCCTGCATGTAAGTTTGCACCTGCAGTAGTCAGACTGCGCTTTGTACATGTATGTGAAACATGATGGACGTTGCACTCGGAAACGTTGGTGAGAAATGTTGGCCTAATTATTTAATGTGACAATAAAAATATGGAATATACAGTAGTAGGCTTATTCAGACACTTGATTCAATCAATTTGGAAATTCCAGCTTGAAGTCAAAGGTAGACGTAGGCCTAGGGTAGGTCTATTTCTCCATTTTTTAAGACCCAGCCTTGCCAGCAGAAGCACTGCCATTTCACAATCAAAGCTTCTGATGAGTTGTTGATTAATAACATGCTTGAAGAGAACTTTTTTCCAAATTTGCGTGCCTGTACGCAGCAGTGAATAGGTACTGCACAATTTTGGCCTGCAGTTTTTGTCCCACTCCCAGTCATGCCAGTTTGGCATGGACGACGGTTGGGCCTACTGTAAATGCAATGTTATCAGCCAGGTGGCAGCCTCAGAAAGTGCGAATTTACTGATGCTTGAATATATGGTCTTGCTTCGATAAACCTTTTCATGATGCTTAGTTCTCGACGTCCGGGAATGATCATCACAGCAATGCTGTTAAACTGTTGCTAATTAGGCCCATTATTTGTGGCAATTTGTGGCAACAACCTGACCCCGAGGGGACTAAAACTGTGACTACCATGCCCACTTTCCCTTACACTATGTATTGTAAAGAAGTAGGCCTAAGGGATGGACACAAAGCTCTTGAATGTGATAAATGTCAGAATTGGACGCATATTGAATGTTGTGGTATTTCTAATGACGAGTATCATAGCTATCAAATTGAAGTGCCATTTACCTGGTTTCGTCCTCTATGCCAAACTTAAGTGGCGCAGTCATCAATTTGAGATAATTTCAACACACTGTTGGGGGATTTTGATTTTGCTCCTGGTAGTGACTGCAATGTTAGGTCTCCTTACAAGACACGGCATGATTTGGATCATTCAAGAAAACCAGCTACGTGTACATGTGAAATCCAAGTGCTAAAATGAGTTATTTCCAGGAAATATTGTTGTTCATTGAGGATTGCATTAAGGATCGCGATTTGGATGGAGGGGAAGTGGCAATTGCTATTCCTAACGAATATGCTAGTCTTCCCTGCCCTTAGTTACTCAGATACAGAGAACATCTGGACTCAAATCCTTCTACGGTCTGGTAAGACACTCCTGATTGGTTGCTACTATCATGTGCCCAACATTAAATTAGAGAATGGATGTGTCTTGATTCTTCGCTTCAAAAGATTTTGCAGAATTCATGTAGTGCTCCAAATATTATTTTGACTGGGAACTTTAATGCCAAAATCATTAATTGGGATGACAAAACCCAAAGAGCATCTCCTACTGAAACTCATCTTATTAACATTGTCTATAAGTGGTTTTTGTGTCAACACATAAACCTACAATCTGTACTCGCATCACAGAAACAACAGCAGGTATTGGACCTGTTATTCAGTTCAATTTTGAAGAGCACTGAGTGTGCTGGAGTTAAACCGGCATAAGTGATCAATGAGGTAATTTTTGTGTGTTAAGACCAATCCAAAGTAAAAGCCTGGTCCTCGTCAAAGAATTGTAACTCTACTCAAAAGGTGATTTTGATGGAGTAAGGGAAGACATGATGGTTTTCAAGGATAATTTCACCCAAACTCACAGTGAAAGATCTGTTGAAGCCAATTGGACTACATTCAGGTCAAGTCTAGAGATGTGCACATTTCTTCTTGGATGTCAAAACCACAGCAGAATGTGCCGTGGTTCAACAGGAAGATCAAAAAGTTAATTAGAGTCAAAAATAGAATTCACAAAAAGCTAACTGCTAGATTGGAGTCATGGGAGAGCTTTAGGGTGGCTAGAAAGCTTGTCTAATGGGAACTCGGATGGGTACATGTACACCAGAGTTATAATGTTAGCAAGGTGGTTGACAAAATTGACCCCAAGGCACAGTCCTTGGTCCTCTTAGTTTTGCTTTTTATCAATGATGTCACAGATACATGTAATCTTCAGTCCAAAATGCATCTTTTTGCTTACTGTTGCATTTTGTATAGAAATATTCATCAATCTGATTGCATTGTACTTCAGCAAGATATTGATAAGCTACATGAATGAGCCACTACATGGCAAATGCAATTCAATGTAAAGAAATTTATGTAGATCATGCATGGAAAATAAAAGGAAGAAGATCTGCCGTGATTATAATCTGAATAATCATTCTTTGGCAACTGTGGACCGTCATCAGTATTTGGGAGTCTTTCTTTCTCACAAATTAAAGTGGGATTATCATTATGATCATGTGGCCAAGAAGGCTAACAAGGTCCTTAGTATGTTGCAAAGAAATTTAAAGCAGTATTTGAGAATGGCGAAAAAACACTTTTTCGTCCACGCCTGAAGTACGCTTCAGGAGTTTGTGATCCCTTCAAAGCTAAATGCATCAATAAGCTTGAGATGGTTCAGCGATGTGCAGCACTCTTTATTAACAACTACTGTACAGTACCGGTATAGTAGAGAGGTTCGTGTGAATATGATCACAAACCTTGAGTGGAATACACTAAAACAGCATGGGGGATTGAGACTTAAACTGACTTTGTGCCACTCTGTCCTCTCCTGTGGCTCTACATGGATTCATGGAATCTGCTACCATGTAGTGAAGAAGAAGATCATGTTGCCCCAATACATGTACCTGATCACTAGTCTCACTCAGACTCTGGGAACTTGGCCTTCATACACATTTAAGGTCAGAACGCTGTGGGCTTGATTATTTCCGGGGTTGAATTGATCATGTTATGCCCCAACTATACTTCCAGATCTGTAAGGTTTACACAAACCTTTCAGATACATACATGTATACATTGTACAAACTCGCATATCACAGTTTGGGCTGTTTTGATCATGCCAACTATGGGGCCATTCAAAAGTTTTGATGTTTTTAAATTTCTTTTTTGTTTTCAAATTGGTTTGACACACCCACCCACCCCAATTTCGATTGAAAAAAAAAATGATATGGAGGAAGTCCAGTAAATTGGCCCCAGTCTGGGGCTAATTAAGTCCCAGCCACAATTTTTTTTCTCTGCGGTACACATCTGTGCAAGAAAAATTAACCAATCATATTGCATGTTTTGCATTTTGGATGCAAGCTATTGCCACCCGTGTGTCCTACATACGTGTATATGTCATACATGTATGTACATGAACACCGTGTATACATGTATGTACACAATACATGTGTGTACATGTAGAGTACATGTACATGTACCATGAAGGTGAATCTCGGCCACAGCCTTCACAACCCTCCTCACAAGACTTCAGCGTAATACTGAATTTTTTTCTTTCTACATGTACTGACTTCAAGTATGCCGTTATGAAGACTATGAGGCTTACACATGTTCATGTAGGTACCCATAATACTACATGTGCAGTAGTGTGTTTCCAACTGCCACTGCTACATTAACAGTACAAATTTTATGGATGCATACTGAGGCAATCAAAAGAAATACACCTGTAATTGACACAACTTACCATGAAGACAGTCAAGACAGGAAGAGGTCATGGATCAGTGTTAAAACTTTCTAACAGACCTGTACAGAAGCAGCAAAAGTTCGGATTCAGATCATTGCACGAAAAATTGATGGATGCATAAGCCTCATTGCAAATACTGCACAAGTGATTGTGTACAATGGTAGAAAGGCATTGTGGGAAGGAAAAAGGGGAGGTGCAAATCATCTGTGCAGTATTTCTGATAAGGCTTATAGAGCAAGGATTTGGTAAATAGTTGTGACTCAAAGGACCATCTGGGATGACATGTTGTCAGTCATCAGAAATTGGATTTATTTACAAACTACTGATTCATTTCCAGTGGCCCAAAAATTTCAAAAGGGTTTAATTCTCAGAATTAAATCTTCTGAATGGTGTTTTCACTCTTTGCACATTATAAGACGTTTTGATTGCCCCACTCATATTTGGATATGTTCTGTTGGCAAAGCATTGATCTCTATTATAAATACTGTCTTGAAATTAATGCAGCCATTAGATTGCTCCTTCATCCCTCCATTGAGATTTAAATAAAGATTGAATGTTGGTGTGAAAGGAAGTGGTCTTCATCAATCATAAAATTGTCAAACTGTACAAATATTTGCATCCCTTAGGAAGATGGGTTGGATGAAGGAAAAGCTTTGTATAACAGTCAAGCAGATACCTGTTTAACGTTGTATTCGTAACTGGTATGCAACCCACCCAAACATACATTTTTGACTCCATGTGAATGCAGAAAAAAAATTTTATCCACCCAAAGTTTATTCAGGCTGAAACATTTAACCATGAGTTGTGCATGTACAATGAATTTCCCAAATTGCTGGCCAAAACAGCAAAGCACAAACAGTGATGTGGTGCTGCCGGTACACGTATGGTAAGTTGCACCCAGAACTTTATGATACATTATTATGAATGGGAAAAAATGTAATTTGATTGTTTTTTTTTCCATGGACAATGTGTATAGGGCTTTGTCAAATATCTGAATATTCGATTGATTATCGAATATTCAAATCTTATTTTCTGAATTTGAATATTCAAATGCAAAATTCATTAAAAGGAAGGGATGAGAAAAATTGCAAAATGGAGGCTTGTTTCAAGATTGAAATGAAAAGTGACAGAAATCCCATGGTTATTCATTGAAACATTTAAAAGGTACAGAAATTTTCAACAGGGTAAGAAGCATTGTTCGTCTCTTAACTCTTGTTAAATTGTGGCTGGAGATACATGTACATGTACTCCTAAATGGGAGAAGCTATTATGGTGGTTATAGTGTATCATTGTGTGCACTATTATAACTGATTTTGTACACGTACATGTATGTGTGTGGTTTGAATCATCAACAATGTGCTGGTCAGTACGACTGAATATTTGAATATTCCATCAAATTGAAGGTTGAATATTGGAATGATGAATTATTCAAATTGACTAAGCACTAGATTTGTACTGCAGAGAAACAAATCATGTCCTAGGCCAGACTGTTCCAATGATAGTGCTATGTACAGTTGGGCTGCCCCTGCCCTAACTGTGGTAGGCAGTTTCTAAAAAAAATTCTCAACCTTTTCCAGGTTTATACAGCTCAAACCTGACATACTGTACATTTACAAGTACATGTGATTCATCCAAAATATACCAACCTGGCATCAAAACTCATTTCTGCAAGCACGAGTTGTTAATATGAATGACAGGGAAGTACATGTACCTTAGATGAATATTGACATTATTTGATGAAATCACATGGTAACAAGTGACTTGATATTGAAGGTGCACCCTTCAAAGCCCTGTAAATTTTCTGAATAACATATCCGAGTAGGTTTAAACCTTGTAGATACCCACTTCGGGAAGTGGTGTAGATGAAAGTTTAAATCATGTAAATTGTAATGAGGATGTGAGTAGGTGACAAATAAAGAGTTTTATTTGTACACCTAAAATTTGAAAAAAATTATCTACATGTAATTTCTGAGAGTATCAACCTTTCCAACGGTTTGGATTACATTGGCGTATGATGCATTACATGTATTTGGGTGTTTTGGAGGGTCTTTAGGGGAAAGCAGAAATAAATTTATGATTCAAGTACCTTATCAATTCGCCTGTAAGATACTTCAGCTGTCAAATTTCTTTAATCCTCAACATGGGCCCCATTTCTTTCTATGCAAATCTGTGCTCCCTGCAACATGTCTGCCACAGCACAGGACCACTGACCTTTTTACATTTTCAAAACATCCATTTTTAAAAAGATTAAATGTTGTTCTCAAATTCAACAAGAAATATATATGTGATGTTGACCCCTTTGCTTGGTAATGATACACCCAGAAATAAGATTATTTTTGTGTAGATGGTAGGGGGTTAAATGGTTGATTATTTGTTTCAAATTTTATGCGTGCAAGTAAAACTCCTTTTTAACTTTCATTCAATCCGACGCACACACCCATGAGCAACAGACGTCTATTTCCCAAATCCAAACTTCCGTTGTTCATTGAAGCATGAAATGTGAACCATGAAACTGGTATCAATCAAAGCAGAACTACATGTACACCCTTCACTACTATGTACAGGTTTTACTAATTTTTGAAACTTGGTCATACATGTGTGTTATTTTATGCTAATTTTTCTGGGAGTCTACTTTTTTCTGATACACCCTGTATTTTCAAGACGTTTTCAAGCGGTATCTGCTGCTTTACCTGACCCGGACTGGCCAGCCGACCCCAGCAAGCTCGGTGGTCGAGTGTTAAGACGTCTGCACTAGTAAGCAGGAGGTCGTGGGTTCAAGTCCCACCCGAGTAAGCTTGTGACTTTCTTTTTGCAAGCTCTCGGACAAGCACTGAGCATACAGTGTTTATTAATATATACTTTGGGTAAGAGCAAACCCCGTCATATAAACACTCTGTATTGTTAAAGACGTTGCTCAAACTTGCCCCATGATACATGTATGATGATGTGGTGTGATGTTCCATAGTGAGGATGACATGGACTTTTGTCACCTGGTCGTGTGATTGTCCTGTGCCTATAAATTCAAGATGGAGATGTATGTACGTTTACATTCGTGTGATTAAGTACTTTAGTTTAATTTTTTTGCAGCGTGTGTCACCTATGAAAGTGGCATGGTCTCGATAGAAGACTTTCCTCATGACAAAGGTCCAGTTTGGATAATGGGAAGGAAATATGATATCAACAGGCATCGGCAAGAGGCCAAGAGAGATGTACATTCCAGACTCTGGATGACCTACCGCAGGGGATTTGCTAATATAGGTATGTGGCTAATGGCATGTTCTTCATGAAATGGACCAAAATGCATTTTCGGCTGTCATTTTTCAAAATTTCTAAAAGAGTGACTTTGATAATGTTAAATACAAATTAGCACCTTCAGATTTATGAAAATGATCATATGGGGATAATTAGGCATAATACATGTATGTACTTGTGGTTGACATTTGGTTGGCTACCAGTGCAAATCAAATGGAGTTGAATTCATTTAAAGTTTTACGTCAAAGTGTTTGCACCAGAGGACTTGATTTCAAAACTTCTCTTAACAAGAAGGAGAATTCAGTATATTTTTCGATTGATGTATTTTAAAGCACCTAAGAAATAACTTTATAAAAAATATAAGCCACGAAATAAAGAGCACGAAATTGACGGAAAATGATGAGAAATGTTTGGCTCTCTTCAGTCTCTTACCGCTTATAATCACTCTCACTATACCAACATATTTGCCAGGTCTTGTATATTTCGACCACCAAAAATGATCTTTAAGTTTGGCTGCATCAAAAATTTATAATGAGTATAATATGTTCGTTGTGAACATCATATTTGACAGAGTTTTGATCACGTTCAATAATTTTGACAGAAATAGCATGACGTTCGAGAATGCCGAAAATGCTGTCACATGTAGTGCTTGAAAATTCCATGCACGATTTTCATTTCGCTGGTTATTTTGGAGTTAACGCCGCTGAAAATAAAATTAAAATTAACAACTCTGAGCATTAGATTTTCATCATGAATCGTATTTTATGTCTCGAACGTTTTTTTTTTTGCGAACGTTATTCAGAATGATGGATTTTCTTATGAGAGAAATTGTTCCAAAGAGAAAAATCGCAGAGCGTCGCCATTCCATGGAGGGGTTCATGAATATTGAATTAAAAAGAGGATGCACTGTCTGGATTGATGTCAAAGGTCAAACAGGCCACGATGTAGCAAAATGTTTCTCTAACGTCACCGCGAAAGATTGATGGAAGCCGCAAAATCGCCACAATCGGTATTTTGGACTGCGGTTTTCGGGAACATACTTGAAGAAAATGTGATCGGTCCAGTCGTAAAAGGAGGATGGTTTGACGGTGCTTTTTTGCACTCTTTTTTAAAGCTTGTGTTGTACATCGATATATGGATTTTACTCACTTTTTGCAGTTGATTTTTTTGACACTAATGACAGAATCGAATGAGATTTGGGACCCGATTAATTGTGAGAGGTACTTTTTAATTTCGTGATTATGGTTTTAATATGTGTAAATATTATCACCTTTCACCACATATAAATCTCTGTAAAATAACCTTGGGAATTACTCCTCAGTAAATTCTATTGGCTCGGATTTTAACAGGGAGCTTATGTCCCTCAAAATTGCTAACGTTTGAGACTTTAATTAATTAGCTCCAATTAAGTTGAAAGGTTGACGCGACCATCATTGTTCCAGGTATCAGCCATGACTTCCCTCGTCACATCAAACATTGGAAATTAATTCACTGCTGTTCACTTCAGGAAAAATGAACCCCCACAGTTGAACATTATCTAATGGTCCAGATTTTGACTAATACATGAACAGTTATGTGTAATACATGAAGTTTAGTTTAGTTTAATTTATTTCCATGTTTTCAATAAAATATTCACATTAATGTAATATCAAAATAACAGAAATAAAATGAGGATTCCTGATAAAAAGCAAATACATGTAGTTGTACAAGATCTGGAACCTGTTTCTATCTATTTAAATAATGGGCTATGATGTAAATAAGATCAGAAACACAATCAATTATCTATGTTTACATCAATAATCCTGTTTCATATTACTAAATACTAAATACTAATACTATACTAAATTAATGTATACGATAGTAACTTTAAGGGATAGAGTAAACTACTTGTACTCAACAAAGAATAAGGAAAAAGAAAAGGAACAGAATATTTAACAAACGATGACGGAACATTTGAGAAAGAAAAATTATGAAAAAAAGATAAAGGGGAAGTGGCCAGAGATAATGATATATTTTCAAAAGTACATGTCTGTTGAATGACCAAAGTGACAATAAGTTATTTGATTATCAGAATAATGTGATAACAGCAACGTTTTAAGGTACTTTTTGAAAAGTTGCAGTGACCCAAAAGTAGGCATTGGTTTGAGGTAGTTCTATGGAAGAGACCCTTGATTTCTGATAGTGGATAAATAAAAAGATGTTCGTGCTTTGTGGAGGTATAGATTTGCGTTTGACCTTGTGCAATGAGAATGAGAAAAAAATGAGTTTTTGTTTTGAGTAATGAGTATATAGTTAGAGGAAGATTTTTTGTTTCAATTTATACATCAGTACACCAAGGGGTATTTATTCTTATAAATCAATGACTGAAAAGGTTTTGTATTTACTAAACAACAGTGTAAAATGTTCTGTGGATCTAGAGTTATTACTCTTGATGTTATCTTCTTCATATTATACACTTTATTGATATAGGAGGGGTGTTACCCCATGCTAAAATATCATACTTAAGGTGAGGCAGGGACAAGGTACATGTGTTATAAATTGAGAATAAGATATCTAAAGGTAAGTTATGCTTTAGTCTTTTTAGGATGCCTTGGTTCCAAGAAAGCGATATGAGGACCTTTTGTTGCTTGCAGAAAAGTTTATTATCAATTAGTACACCTAATATTTTACAGGTATCAACTAGTCCTATTTGTGTATTATATACATAAAGTAAACAGTTCATACATTTGGTTTTGTTTAAGTTAATGGATAATTTATTACACTTAAACGCTTAGATTAGATTTTGCATTGTCACCGATTAATAGTGTCAATTGCCTTAGGTAAGTTTTTGCTGCATTGAAACACATTATTGTCATCCATAAATAAAATAAAGGAGAGTATACTTGACAAGTTTCAGATATCATTAATGTAAATTTTTGGTTTTATTTTTTTTGGTGGTCTGAATACTACCTTTGACATTGCCATGCCATTATCTGTCAAAAACTTCAAAAACAAAACTGAATTGCTTGATGAGTGGCAGCCATTTTTTGAGACCACAATTACAGGCCACAAGGTGCCTTGGGTGAAAACCACACAGTAAAAGTCTACCTTATCACTGTAAAAGCATTTACGTGTAACAATCACTGATTAATTGCAATGAAATTTTTACCTTGATGACATAACTTTGACTCCTTAAATCTTCATAATAACACTCATATGCTCGAAACCGATTAATTTAACAGACAGTGTCTTTCCTTTAGTCGTGGAACAATGCTATGAGCTTAATGATAATACCATACAATTCTCAACTGCCCTCTTTTATTAAACTCTAACATTGAGCTTGTAGCCCAATAGGTTTTACCCATGCAGTATTTAAACCCCCATCACTGAACCTTTGAAGCATTGCAATCTGATTAATGCCCAAACTAAAGTCTTCATGCAGACCTTAGGTCAACTGCCAGGATGATGATAGTGCTCCTAACAATTCTCGAACTCAATACTTTGCTCAGCTTCACCTTGCATTTCTTCTAGTCACATAACAATAATGTGGCTTAATGATATGACAGTAATAGTACTCATAACAATTCTCGACTGGCTACTTTTCTAAGCTCTCACTTAGAGCTTGCTCAATCAGGGTATGACTTAAAAAATTTTCTGATTTGTTTATGTCTGATTTGAGGCCACCCATACATGTATTCAGCTGCAAGAAACAAGTGGACGGGCCAAAACAAAACGGCTTTAACTGACAAATGTTTGAAATTTACAGGAGGCCTGAATATTGTGGGGTTCATTGTACCCTGCACTCTGAATGGTGACTTGAAAATCAGCAATTAGTCTACATGTATCTGAACCTTCTTTTGATAAATGCACCCCATCAGCAAGAACAAACTGTGCTGGGATGCTGTGATCCCCAGGTGGGTTACAGGAGCTGTGTAGTCCAACTTATTTAACTGCCGTCTTGCCAATGAGTTACATGTAAGTAAGTTTCTGACCCCATCAAAGGCTCTTTGTGAGTTCTGTTTGAGCCACACCCAGTACACAACCCTCAGAAGAATTGCGGACCGCAAGTTATGCGACAGAGTGGAAGGAATAGCCGCAGTGTGCAAAAGCATTTTTTGATTGCCTCCCTGCAAGACCTACATGTATCATTGAATCGACTGATGTTATTTGAACCAAGATGGACAATCACCCACTGAGGTGGTGCATGCATTTATAGGAGACACCGCAGGTGGTGGGGAAAGTCGTGGAGCACTGTTCCACCTTTCCCCAGCTAGAATACATGTATCTCGGTGCTGGTTGTGCCCAGGTCCAACGTTCCTGTAGCTGATGCCCTGACTTTGGCTCGGTGAATAAGGCTGTCCCCAAGGAGCCATTTCGGTTGCGGCCACTCTGCAAAGGTAATAGAAAGAGAACTTTTGTGGGTCTCATTTTACTGATTCAACTTGGGGCCGGTGTCCCCGCCCACTAAGGCCCTGACCCTAACTTACTTTGGCCTTGCATGATTTGATGCTTGAGGTATTCCCCTCTTATGTAGGATGTGAACGCACGACTAGGCCATCTGCCCATGTTTTGTATAACCTCTGCCGAAGCCCCATTCAGTGCTGCTGTGGCAGCCGCTACAATGCGAAAAGAGTGAGTTCCATATTGTTAGGCCTCTAGACCAGCATGGCGCTATTTTTTGTGCAAGACTGCTGTGAACTGATAACGGGAGAGAGGTTGATTCAGTAAATTCAATGTCGATCAAGTGAGAACTCGTACGTTGACCCCTCTTTGCCAGTGACGGTGCATTCTCCCACTCTTAAGAGCCCAAAGTACATGTAATCCAAAGGAAAGCAGCTGTGAGTAGCATTGCTGTGGTATTATGTGATTTGAATAAGTACATGCCATAGAGGAAGTATACACTCACCTGATGAATTTATACATAGCTAACTAAGATGCTGATTGGGTATTGGCTCCATTCATTACTTTACAGTTGAATGGATTTAATAGTGCAGTGTGTGTATATAAGGATGTGTCTCGTAATAAAA